GTAGTATTCCAGCCAAAAACATTGGAGGACCCAAGCTAGCACTGGGGGGGGGGGAGGGGGGGCATCTCAACATTTTAAGGTCAAAGGGTCAAGGCCCTCACAAAAGAACACAAATGGACACCCGTGATTAACAGATTACCCGTGAATTTTGCGAAGTTAGCGAGCTAAACTTTAGCTACGAGCTAAAGTTCTGTACTCCCCGCGCATTGGAGTGCATCCAAGTGTTCAGCTCATACAGACCGTTAACATATCACAGTTTGAGCGTTTTTGCAGGGGCCGTTTGTGTAGGCTGAACGTGGGCTAAACGTGGGCGGACCGTGGGGTGTTCTGACACATCATTTGAGGTAACTTCCACTTTTGGGAGCATCTCCCCGTGCTTATCTTCCGCAACGACAGTGCAGTATGTCCTTTGATGTCGACGCGCCCTATAATCCCAAATAGTCATTCGATCCTAACGACCAGCACTAGCGCAGCGGGATTACCTGACAAACTGCGAGATCCCAGGGAAAGGGCACATGGAACAGAGTACTTTAACACACTTGGGTGCGACTCAATTTGAGACCCCTCACTCCCTCCGAGGTTTTTACAACAAACAAAAAATATTTCGGAACGCACGGTGTAGCTGCGCAAAGCTCTGTAGATCTGTAGGATGTTGAAAATTGGAGCTTTTGGCATACAAACTTGATGTACCTTGTAAGGTCACTCACTAGTATATGGCAGGTAAAAGTCAGGACGTGGTTGGCTGAAAAGGCCATTTCTAGGGAATCGTTCAACCTGATGCGGCAACGGAGTGTTGGGCAAAGCGATGCATCTCTGAGACAGCTTCTTCGGCAAAAAACAATTACAACTGCAATTACAACAAATTTCGTTGACCTAGGGTCAGGTTTAAAGGTCAGACCGAGAACAAAACTGGCCTGCTATTTTGCTACCACTTGGGAGATTGAGAGCTTGCTTATGGAGTAGTTTATGGTGATCATCTTGAATTCACTAATAACGGACAGCAACATAAATGTTCATTAGACTTCTTGAAGATCATAGAGGTCACTGACCTAACATGACCAAGCCCAGCATCTTGTTTTAGGAACATGCTGCCTAGCGAAACCCCTCACGCTTACCCGAATGCCAAAGTGGAAGCAACAGGTGTTTGCACGCTTGCTTCCCTGCGCTGAGACACGGCGATGTGGTCAGTACCTGTGAGCCACAACAAGGATGAACTTGGCTGACACATGGTCCGGCACAGCCAATGTAACCGGCTTGTAGTACTACCATTGTTATTGTCAGCCTGAGACACGGCGATGTGGTCGGTACCCGTGAGTCACAGCAGCGACCAACTTGGCTGACATGAATGCCACGCAGGCATTCTGCTGGAATGTTTACGAGGGGACCTTGATGTGCGGCGCCGCAGCAATCATGATGGAAACTAAAATAAAAGTGGGATATTAACACACTCAGGTGGCGGTCAAATTTTCCCTCCCCCGAAGGTTTTTTTCGGAATGGTTTTCGAACAGCGTGGTGTGGCCGCGCGAAATTTTGCTTAGCTGCAGATAATTGAATAGTGGATTGTTTGGTATCAAAAATTTAGATATAATTGGGGAGGTCGTTGACCTATGACCGGTCAAAGTCAGGCCATGGATTCAGCGAAGTCAATTTCTAGGGAATCGCTCATTCTGATCCAACAACGGAGCCTTAGACGAAGCCATACATCTCTGAGATGCTTTCTTAGAAAACACAGCAATTGAATGAACAAATTCCATTGACCTAGTGTCAGGTGTGAAGGTCAGACCAAAGTAAAAACCAGCCTACGTAAGTTATTCAGTGCATTAGCGAGGAACATTATTCACATAGATGAGACAGTAGTAATAAATAGCCTTATTCCTCGGAGAAAAACCAGGAGAATGGAGATACAGTCGGGTTGTATAGATCCATTCCTCTGGTCTTTCTCTGAGGAGTAAGGCTGTTCCCACTGTCCTTTCTATCAAAACCAGCCTGTTGCATTACTCTAGGGCTCGCTGTATAAAGTAGGTTCTGGTGTTTATTTCAAATTGGTTGATAACAGGAACCACATTGTACATCGTCTATGCACTTTTTAAAGGTCACAATAGGCCACTGACCCAAAATGACCGAGGTAAATATTTTGTTTCCAGGAACATACCGCCTGGCGTACCCTTTGTCGCCTTTTCAAGTGCAAAACTCAAAGCAGTCTTGTATGATTTTGGTCACCATGATTTTTAATAGGTCAAACAAGCTTTTGGCCCTTAATGAGCATGTGACCTCTTCTTCAGAACAGGTATCTAGGTTCTAGGAGCACTTTGGAGAAACATCTGGAATTTGACATTGTTTGACCGTATTTGACCGAAAGGTCATGACCTAGGGGCCTCAAACGTCCACACTTCAACTGGCATGCATTGTAGGGACGTATCACGAACACATTCATATATCACGCAATGCCTGTATGACTCCATGGATCATGGGCGACTCGCGACACTTACTGCCACACGCTGAACTACGTCATCTTTCTACTGGCTCAAAGTTCCCAGCGCATCACAAAAGGTTATTTCTGAATATCGTACCACTAGGTGTCGTATCATCCCAGGCCGCTGCGACATCCCAGGCAACCTGCCACGACAGCACACCTTGGTTACCTCTGTTTCATTGCAGTAAGTGTTCGAACTGAATATTGACACCACCAAACTCCAGAACATAAAACGACTGTTTTCTAGTTGCCAGCCGCCGCCCGAGCGTAAAAATAATAACTTTAGTGGGAAGGGTTCATACAAAAGGGAAAGCTGGCATCATGATGTATCACCGGCAGCTCTCGCGCACGTTATGTGCTACGGTGGATAAGGTGCGGATCACGTGACGTACGTACCACAATATAAACTACGTCAGCGATGTAATGTTGCGACGCACCTGGCGCATCATAAAACAACAAGCTCTAAATTTGGCAGCACTAGCCGTTTTATCAGCGTGGGACACGGTGAGACAGCTGTCGGAGGCGGCCCGTTGCGAGATCCCTTTGATTATACACGAACATCAGGTGCGCATTTGGCTGAACTTGCTTATAAGGGCCACACGGATTATATCCAAAAATACAAATGCGACATAAAGCTCCACACAAAGCCATGTGACGTATGTTTCCCTAGCATAGCTTATGCATGACGTATGGTTGTCACTCTGAGATGAGTGTCGAATATGGCATGTGTCTGCCTCGCCTCTAACATCAGTGTTCTTATTTTAAGGTCTGGGCTCCCACAGGCCAGGACTGGTGCTCCTTGCATCCTGTGTAGTCAAAACAACTTACAACACATTCACCACCACAAAGACCTACGAATTTCATAGACGTTCAGCTGCAGCTTTTTATGGCTTGGCGTTTGTGTCCATACAGGAGAATGATGTCCATGCCAGCTTCGAACCCGGTCGTCTCGTCTCCAGAATAGATACGAACACCAAACAAAAACCGCAGCTGAACGTTTGTGATATTCGAGGTCTTCGTGTTGGTGGATGTGTTGTAAGTTGTTTGGACCGCATAGGATGCAAGAAACAACAGTCCCATTCTGTGAGACCCCAGGCCTTAAAATAAGGCACTGAAGTTAAAGACAAGGCAGACACATGCCATGTTCGACACTCATCCCAGAGTGAAAACCATACGCCATGCATTCACCATGCGGGGAAGACATGGGACACATCGCTTTGTGTAGAGCTTTGCGTTGCTTTGTATTTTCTATATGATCCGTGTAGCCATGTAAGCACATCTTCTGCGGTGTCGCGGTTCACCGCAGGTTTGCTGGCATTTCAACCGAGCGCGTGCAGGATGTTCGTGTGAATCAAATGGATCTCGCAACGAACTGCCTCGGACTGCTGCCTCATCGTGTCCCAGGATGACACGACTGCGTGTGCTACAAAGTTTAGAGGTTGTCGTCTTGTGATACGCTGGGAGCTTCGAAACATTGCATGGCTGGCATGCAATGAGACGGAGGAAACCAAGGTGTGCTGTTGTGACAGGCTGCTTGGGATCAGTCTCGATGGCCTAAGATGATACGGCAGCCAGAGATACGCTATTCAGAGCTTAACCGTTGTGATTTTCTGGGACCTTTGAGTCATTAGACAGATGACGTAGTGCATTGCGTGGCACTGCAGCAGATTTCTGACTGCTTGCGTTATATTTATACTAATGAAGACCTGGCTTGTGCCAGTCTTTTTCGCGAGTCAGAAAAAAGAGATATCGTTAAACACAGCTTCTATTTTCTCGTCACTTACACACACCAACACTCACACCACAACGCCCACCAACACAGCCAACAGCGGTCCTGCTTCTTCAAGCCCGGAGAGAGTGACAGCATACAGAATCAACAATGGTACAGTTTATATATCATGCGCATCGGAAATGATCCATGATCGTGGGGTCCAGAAATTATGTGATAGTTAACCAATGAAAGACAAGTGCGACGTCGTTTGATGGTCGGCTAAACCAATCAAAAAGTATGGATTGCCTTGCGATCCCACAGTCTGGCGATGCCACACGCACCTGGAAGGTGTTGATGCGCTGAAGGCGAATTTTTAAAGCAAATACCGGATGACATTTCAGAAGCCAGGCGTAGTTCAGGCTCCAGTGGAACGGATGAAATGCGGTCAGTGCTCATGCCTATTGGAACAGGTAGGCGAGCCAGACTAGGTGGCATTCGCATCCCCAGCTCGGACTGCTGAGCCCGTGTTGGAGGAATCACTGTCGATTGGTTTTGTTGATGAGGTATCCATGCAAGCGATTTTCTGTATATGGCACCGGGGCTCCCCACCACATCGGTGGGGAGCCTCGGTGCCCACCTGAGGGACGGCCCAACACTCACCCGGAAGGTGGTCACCGCCAGGGCTGCCCCGGTGCTGTACGGGGCAGACGACGCGTCCCACACGGCCAGGTGCAACCTGGGGAGACCCGTCCCCGTCCTGACCATGATTCAGTGCCGCCTGCCCCCTGAACCCTTAAGTCCGCTGCGCACGGCCAGGCGCCCCGAAGCGGAGACCCGCACGGAACAACCAGCCGCAGCGTGAGCGACAAGCCGCTCGACCTGTGTGGGGCCTCACGCCCCCCCCCCCCGCGCCCCCTGATGTCATGGTCAAAGTAGAGCTTTGGGACACGTCGTGACTAACCCGCACGACGCGACACTCAGTCACCAGGATCCGGTCAACTCGGAGACACGGGCGAGGGGGCACGGTAACCCCGATAAAACGGGGATGAGGAATGGTGAGAGGGCCGGAAGCGGGAATACAGGCGCTTAGGAGGGAGAGGGCGGGACAAGGAGCAGAAGCTCACGTACTGGCAGGGTCGCTGAGCCCTGAAATGAACAGCACGCGCTGTCCACCCGTTACCGGAGCTGGGACCCGAGGGGGCGCTAGTCTCCTCCACCGGCGGAAACCGGTGCCCCTGCGGAGTGGATCAGTCACCATTTCGTATGAACATGACCATGCATGTTTGACTGAAAATGTTCAATATTCAATCAGAATCGATTAGTGATATAAATTCTGTGACGAAGTTTTGAACATGCGAGCTCGCAAATCATACCCGCTACCCCGACGGGACGTAAACAGGGGGCTTAAATTTGGTAGCCCGTAGTAGTATGATTTTTGGCTGATACTATAAAGGGGTTGGGATATACTAGAAACATAATTAAAAACGGAGATTTCCCCAATAAATTGGATGTCAGTCGTGTTCTACATCTTTATTCCAGCACTACGTGACTAGATAGACAGCACACTTGGCGTTGCAAAGACAAATGCTGCTTGGACTTTTTAAGACAAATCAATATCAGGATTTGCCTCCAGAAAATCCTATTAAACTACGTTTTCTGGCTCCGACACCCACGCCATGTTCGTCGTAGTCAACGCCACTGAAGGTTTATATGTGACGCCTTTTTACCAAATATGTATGAATTGTACATCTATAAATATTACGTGAAATACTTATTTTAAATGTTGGATGGGCAAGTGAAAAGGGTTCGCGGGGGATAATGCCTTGACTACTCTCATATATCTCCAGGGCTATTTTTGAGCTGAGATATGCACCACGACTCTGACTAGCAGAAATTGCAAAACTTGCCAGAATTCGTCCCATTTTACAGGAAAATCTGCTAACTTGAGCTGTTGTTGTTGCTGTTGTTCCATGTTGTATTTTTGCACAGGGTGCTTCTAAACGCCTACGGTTAGCGTTCTTCGGAATAAAGCACTGGCAAACTGGTTATCCCATCTGTCTGTCGGGGGCGGGTTGGAAGCGCATTTTAGTAATTATTTTGTAGCTCCGGTGCAAACCAACGCCATTTCCCAGCTCAAAATGATTCATTGAATGTGCTAGGTTGAAAGAAATCAGGTTTGTGGAAACATTTATGCATAAACCAGCCCACAAAGGGCAGCGTTTTCACGCCGCCGTAGCGTTGGTGCCATATGATGGCCGCTCTGAAGACCTCGAGCGACCCTGGGCCAGACGATCTCCATCCAAGGCTTCTTCGCGAGTCCGCAGATGTCCTGGCAGCGCCCCTCAGCATGCTTTTTCGAAAACCTTTGGCATCCAGAAGGCTCCCTCTGGAGTGGAAGCTTGGCGAGGTCCCGATCTTCAAGAAAGGTAACCGACAATCTCCAGCGAGCTACCGCCCACTGAGCCTTACTGCTATTCCCTCCAAGATACTTGAAACTGTCGTCCGTGATGCCATACTTAATCACTTCTCAGATTCTGGACTTCTTCAAGCAGCCCAGCATGGATTTCTCCCTAAGCGGTCCTGTACCACCCAGCTGTTAGAGGTCATGGAGGATTGGAGCGCCGCGGTAGAGGATGGAGAGCCGGTGGACGTGGCGTATCTGGACTTCAGCAGAGCCTTTGATTCTGTTCCCCATAACCGTCTGCTCTCCAAGCTTCATGCTTACGGTGTAAGAGGTAATTTGCTACGCTGGATCAGGGTTTTTCTTACTCACCGGGTGCAGAGAGTGCGGGTCCAGGGCTCGAAGTCGGACTGGACCGACGTCGTCAGCGGCATCTCGCAACGGTCAGTACTTGGACCAACGCTGTTCATCATTTTTGTGAGCGATCTACCAGAACAAGTGCGAAGCGTGGTCAAGATGTTTGCGGATGACACCAAGGTCTATTGTCGTGCCCCGAGACCCCTGACTCACTCACCTCTGCAGGCTGACCTCGGCGCCCTGGCCAAGTGGTCAAAGGAGTGGTTGCTCCCCTTTAGTGCAGCAAAGTGCAAAATAATGCACATCGGGAACTGCAACCCGAGGCTGACGTACTTCTTGGACGGCGCCGAAATCGTGGTCGAGTCCACCGAGAAGGACCTCGGGATCTTCGTGGATTACCGGCTCCAGTTCCACGTGCAGACGGCGGAAGCGATCTCCAAGGCCAACCAGATGCTGGCGGTCGTGAGGCGGTCTTTTGCCAATATCGACGCTCGCACGTTGCCATTGGTTTTTAAGATCTTAGTACGTCCGTACTTAGAGCATGGCAACGTTATCTGGGGCCCGTTCGGCAAAGTGGACCAGAAACGGCTAGAACGGGTTCAGCGGCGAGCCCGGCTTGTCCCGGCTTGTCTATGAAGTGAGGCGCCAGCCATACCCTGAGAGGCTCAGACTCCTTCAGTTGCCCTCACTGTACTATCGTCGTCGCAGGGGAGACATGGTAACAGTGTACCAGCTGTTTCACGGAGGCATGTCGCTATCGGAAGAGGAGTTCCTGACAAGGCACAACTCGGAGGTGACAAGAGGACACCAATGGAAGCTCAGAAAACCGCGAGCTAGGACTCTCGTCCGTCGTAACTCATTCAGCATGCGGGTTGTCAACGACTGGAACGCTCTTCCACACCTGGTCGTGTCGTCGACCTCAGTTGAACAGTTCAAGTCTAGGCCTGATACGCACTGGGCTGACATCATGTACGACGTCCCACACGTCCCATAATTTGAGACTGTTTGGTTGCCGGACCGGGAGCCTGACGAGACCGGGACCTACAGGCCTAGTGGCCTTTTACAATTCCCGATCACCATAAGGTAAGGTATGATTAAGTCCCATGATGACGTCACAGCGTCGCTTATCCAAAATGCAGTAATGCAGGGCTTGGGGGGCGGCAATTTGTGACTGAAAGGTTGCCTGGACCTGGACGGTATCTGGCCGGGGAGCCGGTGGCGGTCAACGATAAGGCGAAAATATGTGCATTAGAAAGGTAACCGATTGCACGTTCCAGGTAAGGATATGTAACAGAGCCATGGCTGAGCACGTTTTGTATCATGGACTCACTGGAAAGCTAGTGCCATTACTCTAGGAAACTACGTGAAGTTCACCCAAGCTACGAAATTAGTGTATGGGATGCTTGGTGATCATTATGCACATAAGTACATTATGCGGCAAGATCAAATTGCTCGTCAGCTGGTGCTTTTATCACATTTAATTCGATGAATAATCATGCAACAAATTTTGTTGTGGACATCAGCTTACCCTCTCACAGCTTACCATCATAGAACAGCAGGTATTGGTTAGGTGTAGGTCTGTTACACGGGAGGCACAATGTCAGGCTATTGTGATAGTTCAACCAGCATGTGCTTTTCAGGGTGGAGCTTTTGCAAGCTGTTGATTGATTGGCATGGTGGCTAAATATGGTGTCTTGATGTGGTAGGAATATGACATGGAATATATGGTTATTGAGAAATGATTTGATATGTGCTAAAAGATGAAGTTGATTATTTTTAAGTCCTAACTTACAAGTTATTCAATAAATTTATTTTGTGAAATGAAATGTGGGCTTGCTGAATGACATGCTGCAATGGTTTAATGCTCAGTTTTGTTATCTTCACCCTTAATGATGGTTTGTGCATTATAACTAATGCAGCAGCACAATTTGATTAAGGTATGAAACCTAAAATTCCCTCAATTGCATCCTTGAGATTGGTACTTCAATTTCAGATGCTGCACTATAAAGCACATCATTGAGCTTGAAGTCCTTATCCAAACTCAACCTGTATAATGGATGTCTCAGCTCCTGGTGCACCATCCTCAGAAGACCCTCCTACAGATGATGTCCCTGCACCTTCATCAGAGAAGTCCTCTACAGAGGATGCTCCTAGACCATCAGAAAACCCCTCGATGGATGCTGCCCCTGCACCTTCATCAGAAAACCCTCCTATAGATGATGTTCCTGCATGCCCATCAGAAAATCCTCCTACAGATGATGTCCCTGTACCCTCATCAGAGAAGTCCTCTACAGATAATGCTCCTAAACCATCAGAAACCCCCTCTTTAGATGCTGCCCCTGCATCTTCATCAGAAAACCCTCCTACAGATGGTGTTCCTGCACCCTCATCAGAAAATCATGTTGTAGATAGTGTCCCTGCACCTTCATCTGGGAACCCCGCTACAGATGATGCCCCTGTAAAGGAACCTTCCATACAAAATGCACCTGCTGACCTGTCTGCAAATGAGGCCTCAGCAATACAATCAGGGAATGCTTCCAAAACCACTGTGCCTGCCTCACATACAGAAGAAACACCTATAACTGGTATGCCTGCCACACCCATTGAAAACTCTTCCATAAAAGATGACCAAACTACGCCCTTGGAAGACCGTTCTTCAAAGGGTGGACCTACAGCACCATCAGAGGATTCTGCAAAGGGTGCCCCTTTTGCACCAATGGAAGACCCAGCCAAGCAGAATGTTCCTGCTGGTGTTCCCACCAATGATGCCCCAGTCATGGCATCAAGGGATGCAGTTGAAGCCAATACTGGTGCTTTGCCCATGGAAGTTCATTCCACAAAGGATGCAGCTGCAACACAATTAGGCGGCCTCTCCCGAGATGTGCCTGCTGCTGCCTTGGAAGATCCTGTTGCAAAGGATGACACTGTTTCTGCTTCTGAAGATCCTGCCACAATGGATGGTGCAGTCCTTTCTGTGGATGAGCCATCTACAGAGGATGCACCTAGCCAGCCTGTGGACGAGGTGGCAGCAGTAGATGACCACAGTGATGTGGATCCGTCCTCAAAACCGTCATCCACCACAGATGCCTCCATTTTACCTTTGAAAAGATCGTCTTCGGTGACCCCTGGCAGTCCACCTTCAAAGGGACCGTCCATCACGGATGCTGGCGACCACGTGTCAGAAAAGGCATCGGCGGAGGAAGCCCTATCTCCATCCCCCACCGAAGAGCACTTCGAACAAGAGACCTCAGATTTATGCTCAACCGAACCGTCCGCAACGAGTACCCGCGACCGAAATTCAAGAAATTCATCGGCAGGAGAAGCCACGAATCTCCGCTCCGACGAGTCCTGCGCAGCGAACGCCCCAGACCCCATATCAGGCCAACCGTCTGGCGAGAATGCAGCGTCGCCGGCCTCAGGCGAGCCGTCGGACGAGCCCCCGGACGAGCTGTCTGACCTGACGGACCTGTCCGAGCTGTCGGAGCCGCACGTGTACGACGCCACGCGCGCGGTGGTGCACGCCGTGCTCTCCCGTGCCTCCAAGCTGCTGGACGACGGCGCGCTGCCGCAGCTGCAGGCGGCACCGGGCGCGCTCTCCGCCGCCGGCCTGCTGCTGCGCCGCGTGCTCGAGGCGGCGCGGTCGCTACGTCGAGTCGGCGGCCGGTGCCGTGCACCGGCTGCTGCCGCTCGGCGTGCGGCTGGCCGAGCACGTGATGACGGTGCCCGAGTGGCGAGGCGTGGAGGCGCGCGCGCGCCGCCTGGCGCACCGCGTCATCTACCGCACCTGCGCCGAGCTGGGTCTGGCGCCGCTGCAGCTGGAGGCGCGACGCCTGCTGCGCCTACTGCGCCGACGGCCGCCCGAGCAGTGGGCGCGCCAGGCGCTGGCCGAGGCGGCCGCTGAGCTGGCCGAGCGCCGGCCGCCGGCGCGCTACCCCCGGCGCCGATGCCGACCGCGACGCGCAGGAGACGGCCGAGGCGGCGCTGGTGCAGGCCTACCGCGCCGCCTGCCGCGCCCTGCTGACAGAGCCGGTGCCGCCGCTGGCGCCGCCCCCGGCCGACGGCTTTGACGTGCGCAGCGGCGTGGCGACCGTGCACGACGTGGTGCGGTCGTGGCGATACGCCATCCGCTGGCGCTACTGCGTCGACTTCCTGCGCTCGGAGGAGGAACGCCTGCTGGCGCGTCACGTCTTCCAGGTGGGCTGTGGGAGCAACTCCAAGGACCCTGCGGTGCACTGCAGCAGCTCTCGCAGATTACTGGACCCAGTGTTTGATTTTTCTTTTCTTGTACTTGATTGCAGAGCCATGATGCCGAAAGCAAGTGGAGTGTAGGTTGGAGCATTGGTGTGTTGGAAAGGGTTAAAAGCTGTTCCGTTCCTTAGAGATAATCGGGGCGGTTTAAACGTCAGACACAGACCACAAACTTCATGTGAAGGAACGAAAGCGTATTCCGAATAGCACCAGGTACATGCCGCGACATACCTATTGGCAGGAGTATAAATTTTGAAGAAAATGAACACGACTTAATTTGGATTATTGTAGAAAATTAAGTGAGGTAGTGTTGTCCATAACTTAGTAGTGTATGGCTGCCGTTCGCCCACCCTTCTTGTTTGGATGATATGTACCCAGGATGACATTCTTGTCACTTCACTTCATGCACAACTAAGCCGGATGCTGCGTTCGACCATAAAGGTCGTCTTCGGGTACCGCACGCCGCTGCTGATGTTGGCGCTCTTCTTACAGGTCCGCTTCAGTATCCCAGAACACCACCAACCGATCCCGAAGGCTGTCGCATACGTGTTCTTCTTCCTCACCGTGCCGAAGTCGCAGTTCTCCAACGCTCCCGTGGAGGTAATACCGGCGCGACCCGAGGCCCTAGCTCCTGTAACGCGTGACTGGCGTCAGCTGTCTCGGGACCAGGGTCTTTTCCTCAGGGGGTCGCATAACTCGTGTGATTCCAATAACTGATTTGTGAATGTTGGTCTTTACATGCGAGGAATCGCAATTGCTGCTACATCACATTTGCCACGAATGCAGTCATCACCAGCCGTTCTTTCCTGAGATTGGAGCAGTGCCAATGTCGCCTCCCCTTGTCTGGCCAGGTATTCTACATGATGGAGACCAGTCGAATGCGACACGTGCCGGGGAAAACCAGTTTCCAAGAGAAGTGGCTCATCGACATCGTCAACGTCAAGCTGAAGTTCTGGCGGGAGATCAAGTTCTAGCTTGCAGCGTGCAAATGACTCGGTCGACGGCAGTTCATGCTTTGCCGTGACAAATCAATGTTTCTCGCAACGAAGTTGGGAGTAGAGCGAGACCACGAAACGAATTTAGTAACTCCGGCAATGACAAGGCTATGGGCGGTATCCTCCATTTATCCTTGAGCGTTCCTGATAACCCTATCCCAAGATACCTTGATCGTTGTGGGTAAATTGGTTGTGATTAGCTCGTCTTTGAAATGTGCCTGTTTTCAGGCTGTCCCGGCGCACTCCGTGTGGTGAACGTTACACCTACAATACACAACATATGCACGTAACCTCTGTAGCATCCCGCACTGAAGAAAAGTTGGCCCGCAGCGCTGAGATGGCCGGCGGCCGTCAGTGTTACGTCGTTAGTACTGCTTTTCTCCGCCAGAGTCGCCAGTGAGCCACGATGATCAGCTGACCCGCAGCCGGTGAGATGGCTGGCGGCTGTCAATGTCGCGTGGTCGGCGTGTTCGCCGCCAGTCTGCTGGCGTTCTGCGTACTGTTGTTGCTATACTGCGAGGTCTTCCACCACTATGCGGTGCTGGCCCAGGTTAGCCGCCCTGCCCCTCCGCTCCGCGTGTGACGGACGATCCGAACCGTCAAACACGAGCATATGTAACATGCACATATCACTATAGTGCTGGTGAAACTGGTCAGCAACTTTGTTGGCAGACAAACTGTCTACGTGTGTTATGTCCCACTGGACTTTGTGCGGCAAGCCGCAATTGTTACCACTCAATTCTGTGAAAGCTTCGGCCTTCCCGCCCACCGTGTCGTCACCCTGCTCTGCCTGCTGCCCTTGGGCGACGCCCGCTGTGTGTCCCGCCGCCTCGGGCGCGCCCTACAGCGTGCTGGTGCCGACAGTGCGCGTGGCCGGCGCCGCTGTCCGCCGGCGAGCCGGGCCTGCGGCTCATGCTGCTGGCCGACACGCACCTGCTCGGCTCGCGCCACGGCCACTGGTTCGACAAGCTGCGCCGCGAGTGGCAGATGCACCGGTCCTACGTGTCGGCCGTCACGCTGCACCAGCCGCACGCGGTCGTCTTCCTCGGTGGGCGCCCGCTCCGGGCAGCTGGTCGCTGTCGTCAGCAGCCTGACCTGCTGCCTCCGACTGTCTAGCCGTGTCGCCGCCGCTTCAACCTGGCGGGTGTTAGAATCACCACGATCAAGTCCATGCCATCGGTTCTGTCGTTGGCACGGCGTACTCGTTCTTATATTCGTGGCCTCAATCAGAATCATCGTCAGAATCGCCATCAGCAGTTAGTTGCCTCATTCGGCAGTGAGTAGTCATTTAATGCAGTGAGTCAGACGTAATCTTGCGACAACGATGATATGGGCGTCAAGTTAAGGTAGACCACTTTCAGTATGATCGATGGGGTTTTGACGGGCTAGAATGAAGGGAATATAGAACTCTCGGCTCAGAACGGCCTATCGCCACGCCGTTCGTTAGCCTGCTGTGGTAAAGGAGCACAACAGCTGCCCAGTACCTCGTCATATGCTCACAAAATGCAAGAGAGGAGTTTGTTCCGGTGAAGTTGGGTGTTGTCTATATGGGCCGCGGAGCTGCGTGAGTGGACCGTCAGCGTAGTCTGGTGACCCAGGTGACCTGCACGACGAGGGCAAGTGGAGCGGCCCGGAGGAGTTCCAGGAGACGGTGCGCCGCTTCGACAGTCTCTTCCCCGTCTCCGAAGGACTCCGTCGGCTGGTGGTGGCTGGCAACCACGACATTGGCTTTCACTACAGGTGAGGACGGCGGTCCGTCGCTGTGGATGGCTTTCACTACAAGTGAGGACGGCGGCCCGTCGCTGTGGATGGCTTTCACTACAGGCGAGGACGGCGGCCCGTCGCTGTGGATGGCTTTCGCTACAGGTGAGGACGGCGGCCCATCGCTGTGGATGGCTTTCACTACAGGTGAGGACGGCGGTCCTTCGCTGTGGATGACTTTTACTACAGGTGAGGACGGCGGCCCGCCGCAGCGGACCAGGAGCACGTGGGAACTAACTTCAATGGTTTCGCTTTGAGTCCATCGCCCTGTTAACATTATGCTTGTTTTGTGGGAACAGGTTCTGAAATCAGCTTGATCATGGCGATTGATGTTCGCCCTGCCAGTACTCCAATCCGAATATTAAGTTTACGGCTTGTCATTCCGGTGCTGCCCCAGATCCAAATAAGACACGCGCTGCAGGCGACCCGGAACGGTGTTGCTGAATTAATTTTGAGCGAGATGGAACCATTTGGGCCAATCCTCCCCAAAGCTGAAAACGCGGCGGATTTGAACGCCTTTCCTTTCAGAGCTGAGGGACCGTGAAGCTGCAGCATCTGCGGACGCCACGTTGGCAGCGTGACCGTGGGTGTCGTCTTATCACGTGTTGTGCGCGGTCAGTGGCGCGCCCTGCGCCCGCCTGCCGGTGTGTGACGCGTCTCTGCTGTCAGCGCGCGGCCGCATCTCTGGAGCCGGTTCGACGCGGCGCACAACACGTCAGGGGTGACGCTGGTCTCGCTGGCGGAGCGCGTCCACCTGGTGCTGATCAACAGCGTGGCGATGGAGGGCGACCGGTGTCAACTGTGCGCCGCCGACCGGCAGCTGCGGCGACTGCAGGTCGGTGTCAGACGCGTCGGAGGTGTCTTGGCGGTCAGGGCTGGGGATTTGTAGAGTGTGTTAGAGAAGCATGCATTCCTCCGGTCTGGTTTGCGCATTTGACAGACAGTGCGTATCGAATGGTTTTTCTACGCAATGAGACTTCTGTATTCTCGTCGTATTCCTTGGCCATGGAAAGTGTTGGGAGTCGTTCAATCATGTGGCCCTTGTACGTGGTCATTCCGGCCGTAAGAAGAATACCTCAAATTGTACGGTAACTGTGTAAAGGGACCCTAGCTTTCGTACCCGCTGCCACTAGCTGTCTCCAATCATCATCATACAAACGGGCGGTTCCTGGAGTCTCGGCAACCGACGTCCGTCGGTCCCGGCGACCGACCGACCTTCCGTCCTCCTATGCGGGCCGACCATCCTGGGCGGCCCGGCCCTCCTACGTCCTCCTAGCGCCCTTATTCCGTTGCAGCCGACCGTACTTCCGTCTTCTAGCAGGCCGACCATCCTGTCGGCCGGGCCATCTCCGTCACCTCCTAGCGGCCGACCATCCTGGCGGCCGGCCATCCTCCGTCCTCCTAGCGGCCGACCGTCTTCCGTCCTCCTAGCGGCCGACCATCCCGGCGGCCGGCCATCCTTCGTCCTCCTGGCGGCCGACCGTCTTCCGTTCTTGCAGCCGACCGACTTCCGTCCTCCTAGCGGGCGACCATCCTCCTGGTTGCCGGCCGTCGTCCGTCCTCCTGTGCCGACCCCTGATACCTGTCCGTCCTTCTCCCCCCGGTCTGGTTAGTCCCCTGCACAAATGTGGTCCGCTCCTCCAGCTCTAGGGGGGATGCCGATTGAGCCTGGTGCGGCTCGCCTTCACTTGTAACTTCAAGATTATGCTGCCATGAGGGCTGGAAATACGACACGCTCCCTTTGTGGTTCAGAGATCTGGCACTGTGCCACCTCGCTTACGTCCCTGCCGCTTAGACCAACAGCTGCCCGTTGGGTCGAAGCCGTTGTGTCTGGTACGTTGCCGTTGCATACAAGCGTGGCGGTATGTTGCAGAGGTGCTGCGGTGCTCTGAAGCGGCCGACTCGCAGTGCGCCGCCGACCTGCCCACACTGCAGTACAGTCGGCCGATCGTACTACAGGTGAGGCGGCCTGTCACCAGCCGACGACGACGGGCCGGGGCATGCGGCCGGCCCCACCCCGGGGGCGGGGGTGGCGCCGCTGCACTGTGTCCAAGCAGATCAACGCGGCGCTCTATGAGGCGCAGTTGTACGTCGCGACGGTCATGTATGTCTTGCTGTGCCGACGGTTTGGTGAGCGCTGTTTTGGACGTGGCGCGCCCCAGTTAGCGGAGCGCGCTCGCCGCTGTGTGCAGCGCGCCGCACCGACGGACTGACCAGCCATGCGTCCGCCGCGCCGCAGCACTACCCGCTGTACCGCGCGTCGGACGCCCACTGCGCCGGCCCTGACGCGGCCCCGCCGGCCGAGCGGACGCAGCCGTTCCGCGCCGGCTGGGAGTGCCTCTCGGCGGCGGCGAGCTCGGCGATCCTGACGCGGCTGCGGCCGCGGCTGGTGGCGTCTGGCCACACACACCACGCCTGTCGCACCGAGCACCGCACGCCGCTCGGGCCCGTCACAGAGCACTCGGTGCCCTCCTTCAGCTGGCGCAACCGCGCCGACCCGTCCTTCCTCATGGTGAGCGCGTCGGCGGGCTGAGGCCCGGTCGCCTGGCACCGGTCGGGTGGTGGGGTGTACTGGGCGGCGAAGAGAGCGACCACTCTGACAGGCTTGTGTGCGTACCCTATATAGTATACTGCATGACAACCCAGTGTGATAATGCGCTGACACCCAAAGGCAACTGGCAGGATCTCGAAGAAAAGGCGTTGTAACTCACAGCACAACAAAAAGGCATATCCAAATTCTGAGGTATTGTGGAAATATGTTGTGGACTTGGCTGTTAAAAATTTCGGCATGCTTGCACCAGTTGTTAAGTTGTGGCACAAAGTCGTCAGGAGCCCTCAGACCCCGCCTGGCGCGGATTAAATGACGGCTCCTTGGAATTGCGCCGTCGTTCACCCTTGGCTCAGGGTCTAAGCACCAAGCTTTGCCTAGTTATGCTTAGTCGCTTACCGTGCTGCAAGCCGAATGGTTTGCAAAGACGGCAGTGTGCTCGGTGAGTGCCTGTACAGCAGAACCCTATGCTTTTGCGCCAGACTCAGCAAGCAGGCCTTGCTGCCGGAGTGGGTTATATTCCCTCATACTTTTTTAGCCAGGGGGGACTGTGAGTTGATCATTTTGGTACTGTAGGATGCCGCGACGTGACTGGCCTGTGCCAGATCCACGCTCGGGTTGGATGACAGCGGACGCTTTTGCCGCCGGGTCACGACAATGGCCCAAGCAACGCGCTCACGCTCTCAGACTTGCACCCAATGCCGCCGGATTACGAGCCCAGCAGACTCCCCCCCCCCCCTTCTTCAGACGACATTCGTGGACAATTGAGACTAACGGGGCCCGCATAGCCCATTCGGAAAATAACTGTTCGGTGCATGCGATGCAGTTACCATCATCCACCAGCAGCAATGCCCGGTATAGTTTTAACAAGCAATGAACAACATAGTGGTTGCCAAGACATAACCTTGTGAAACCCGTCATCGCTCATGCCGGCCGTCCCTCGACTAAAGACTCCTCATGACTGAGGCTCATGACTCGCTGGTTATGCGGCCCCAGGCGGTCCGTCTGGTGGCCCGGCCTCACCCTGCGCACGTGCCGCCCACAGCTACGTGTGAACGCCGACTCGCACGCGGTGCTCAAGTGCTGGATGGCTGACGAGCGGGGCGTGGTGGCGCTGTACCTGGTGGGCGTGCCGGCGGCGCTCGTGCTCAGCTTCGTGGTGACGGCTCGGCGCCGCGTCATCCGACGCTGGAATGGCCCAGAGGCCCGCTCCGGGACGCTGCCGGACAGGCAGGGCAAGCAGGAGTGAGGTGGCTGCAGAGGCCCTCCCCGGCCGCGGCAGCCGGCCGCCAGCGCCGGAGTAGTCCGGCTTTGGCGCTCGGCCGAACGAGATCCGGATCGGGGGAGAGGAGGGGGAGGCATTTGTGAACCTACGAAATGGCTACTAGTCTCCCCATTGTGTGGTTGCTGGCGTGCAGATCGGTATGTAGAATCATTCCCGTGTGAATTTAAGTTGCGTCGTGGAATATTTAACGCCGCGCCCTTGCGTAGTTATTGTAGAACAAATACGTGCTCCCTGAAAGCTTTATGGGCGTGGAGTTATGGATCATGTTAAGATTAGCAGTGTGAAACTTGTCCCTGGAATGGGCATTGCTACTACCCGATTTCTATCCAGTGTTGTTTTCCCTGTCCCTTTTTTATTAACTTTCAGCTTATTTGTGCAATCTGGCCACCTGCCTTGTTCATAATCCGATCACAGTGAGCTGTGCGGTGTTATTTTGTCATTGGCGGGAGCTGATTCTACTGCCATGTCTCGTATGAACAGATCCGTTAAACGCGATAAGGACACGGGATCCAACAGCTGTGATGGTGGCGTTTTTAGGATAATTGCGCGATCGATGACGTGTCAGTGCTAACACATAATGTGTATGTGGCCGCTTACACTGAACTGGGCGTGTCCTGGGCTTTAAATGGTGAGCAATAAGACGCGCCTTACAGTGAACTCTTCTCGTATGACATAAGCGAAGCGATGTGGTCTCCCAGGCTGTGCAAAGTCCCCGCGACTTCGCAGTGGAGTAATCGCGCCACGCGGGGGCGACAACCGGCCAGCGCGGATCTGTATGTGTGACCTTATCTACAGCTGGTTTCAGCAGAGCAGGCTGGTGTAAACATCCGCTTCACCGGCCCCTCGTACCCCATAAAAGCTGGGGCGACTCTTTCAAGAGCGCGTGCTCTGGCTCGGGAGTGCGCTATCAAGTGTAACTGCCATACCCTCTGTGTCTGATTATTGGCATTTTATGATACTGTCGTATGCTCGCCACCATGCTATAGCCGCCTGCTCCGAACACACCAACTGGTTTGAGCCGCGCTGACTATGCCAACTTTTTATAGATGGCGATAGGCGGTGAGCCCTGAGGTACCATTCGTACCACTAAGCCGGTAGTTGTGGTTGATCTCACTTCTGAAAGGCTGCATGGCACCTTTCTTCCTCAACCCTCGGCCTGATTCGCCATTTTTCATAACGCGGACTGATCGGGGGGGGGGGGGGGGCGACGCGACTCCCCCGGGCGTTTTAGCTAAGCAAGACAGAGCGTAACAAAGCGCCACCAGTCACTGAGATCTTACGATTAGCATTAATTCCTCGTATTCTTAGGATAATAATCGACCCCATAATGCCGGGACAAAAATCGAATTTCCCAGGAAATCGTTTTACATGTTTGCAACACCATACATACGAGACCGTGCCTCGTGGCGACATCAAGCCTATAGGGCGTGTTCCTTTCTCAATTTTGAGCAGAATGGTGTATACGTTTATGTGTTTTGAGCACATGTTTACAATATTTAAGCATTTGATATATGCTAATGTAACGGTGTCGGCCCGCCGCGCGCGTTCCGCGGTATCGCCGATTGCCGCCAGCTGGCCGTGCCAAGATGTACATCGAGGCGCGGTGTTGAAAAACCGTCGCTGCTTCGAGACTAGGGAAGCTAGGAGCGCGTTTTTGATGCCGAAACATGCGCAATGGGTGCCCCATAGACTTTTGAAAATTTGGGCGCATCTGCACGGCATGCTGGAAAGGTATCCCCAAAAACCCTTCGGAAGGTCAACCCTCCTCTCAGGGTGGGGTTAAAGCTTGCATTAATGCTACGGGCGTCCAGAACGAAATAAACACGATTGCTCACTTATTCTCCTCCCCGTCAGAGCTCGCATGTTGCTGGCGCATCGGACGTCGGTGTGCGTTTGCGTGTAAGATTGCTCGTAGATGATGGAAACTTACCTGAGGGAGGGCACAACGTGCCTGCTGAGGGCGTGATACCCGAAAACCAGTGCTGAATTTTCCTATTCATTTGGGGGAATAGGCCTCCCCCCAAATTTAGGCTTCAGCCCCTGCAACTTTGGGAAGGAAAATGGCCGAAATCCTGGGCAACCCGTTTTTTTGACACACTTTTAGGGGCAGGTTGAGATATTTTCACTGTTCAGCCCCCCCCCCCCCCAACTGATTTTGCGAAACGAAGCTAACCTCTGCGGAAAACCCTAGATGCCAAAGATTTCGACGTACGTCCGAAGGCAGATCATTCGAGGCAGCTCTGCCGCCCAGCACGGGTGTCAGTTGTATTATTTTGTATGGGTCACTGCCTCCCCCCAATGTCAAATTTGGCCCCCAATGGTGAGTTTGGCCCCTAACTTTCTGGGGGATAAGTACACACAAAACGTTGGAAATGGATAATTATATCAATTTAAAGAAGAATTTTACTAATCGTTTCACAGGTAAAAGGCACAAAGAAAAATGCTACTTCTGATGTCATGTTCAGTTAAGTGCAGCTAACTCACCTAATCACACTTGGGTGCAACTTCACGTTCGTACTCAGTTTACGTGATTTTTTTCTGGTTTCCCAGCATGCTGTATGCTGCATGCTTTTAATCACACGATTAGTATGTCTTGTTGACACTGGCCTAGTTTTGCGCTATTGTTTGGGCGTTTGGTATTAATCAGCGATGTTGTAATTTCTGTAGACAGCAACAAATCACATTGTTTTAGCAAGACGCCTCATCGTAAATTTAAGATAAACCGGTCGATTTTCAGCACCCAAAAACGTGGCCAAGTTATTAGCCGTCTACGCTGAGAAGAAGCATTGAAATTTGTCAACCTTCCTCTGTGACACTTTGATGATGTAGCACATGGGATTGCCCATGTTTATACAAATTGCTGTCCTCATTTAAATGCAGTCGCGCAACCAGAACATTGGCAGAGGGAGGGGGCATAGGGTTGACAAAATGCCCCCTGATAGTTAAATCCCCCCCCCCCTCCAAAAAGGAGTCGCCAGGCATGGTTAACTTGTTAGTGAGAGCATGTTTTTCATTTACTTTCACTTATTCCTCCCATAGCTGGGATAGGGGCCAGAAGCTACCGCGATATAAATTCTGGCTGAATTTTATAAGCCAACAAACTGAAGAAACCGTGAGTAAAACGACTGAACGAAATAAAATGTCAGCGCTCTCCACCTTGCAATTGTCCATTGTATTCTTTCTTAGACCATAGAACTGAGAAGTTTCGTCAAAATCTTAGGCTGGGTTCCACAGAGATATTAACGACCCCGCGAATGTAAATTGTGGATCAAAAGGAGTCAACAACTTGTATTTTCGTGGCCAAGCCATGTTTTTTTCTGGAAATGCTCAGAATTGTTTTTAAAACTGATTAGTGACACTTATTATGTGCGCAGTTTTGAACATGCGCGCCGGCAAATCTTAACAAAAACAAAAACAAAACAAACAAAACCTCGGTAACAAAAGCCTCGACGCCAGGCGTTCCAGTCTCCGTAGGCCGCGAGGCGTTGCCCTGTGGCTGGTGCTAAGCTGTGGACAACGGATGAATGAAAATGACGACGCACCTGAAAGAAACGCTTTTAACCCATGTGAGACATCAAATGGTACATTTAGAAGGTATTCCTGGCGTATTTTTACCGGTACAATTTTTAGATCGGACGATTAGAACGGATTGACATTTACAGCTCGCGAAATGATGCTAGCTGGAATCTGGTGCTATGTGTGTATGATGCTACGTGATGAAACTGGAAAGGTACAGGTAGAATCTACCTGTACCCTTCAAGTAATCTCTAACCTATTTTTCGTGTTGCTGTAACTGTATGTCTGTCCAGAGGACAACCTTAAAGTTGTAAAAATAAGCCCAGTTTTGAACAATGTGAATTAATTTTGGAAGACACTTGAAACAATCATTTCACGACGGTCGTTCTCGCGCGGGGCGCGTGGTGTTACGTGCAGTGGCCAATTCGTTTTCTGTTTTCCGGAAATTGTGAGGTCGGGCGCGCAGGCTCAAACATTTTGATGTAATTTGTTTCGCTAATCGATTCAGTGAACCTGGCAAAAAAAAAAGATCAGGCAAACATGAGATGGCCTTGTTGGTTTTTAGGCTCATTTCGACCCACTCTATTCAACACTAATGAAGCATCTTATTTCCGGGCAAGGGGGTCTCTTGAGTAAAACACTAGGATACACATATCGTTCCCGGTCACCAGCTGAACGGTCATCCGTTCCATCGCGGTGTGTCGTTTCGGGTCAGACTGACAGGGATCCAGCTGTTCGGTGCTCGCGGCTCATGACCGGTTGAGATGCCCTCACTGTCTCAGGGAGTCCTCAGACGGTTGCAGAGAAGCCGCTGACTGATATTTTTAGGTCACGACCTTGCGTACAACGCGTCGCGATTCTTTATGTGACTTACAGCCAGCCCTTCGGGCCCCTATGCTCTCCAAACCGAGCCTTTGATCGTCGGTCCCCTGAGCCGCCCGGCCCCTCTTTGGGGTCTCACCGAACACTGTCCTTGGTCGGCTCGGGACGCTTTTGCGAACACAGGACCCTGTGTCAGGCATTGCCGGCCCCCGGACAAGTACAGGGCCCCCGACCAGATGTAAAATCGCTGTCCCCAGCTTTGAAGTGATTGGGAAGTGGGGTCCTTAGGTTACGTACACGGGCACGCATATATATATATATATATATATATTATGTGTTGTGTGTGTGTGTGCGGTGTGGCATGTGCGTGTGTGTGCACCATATCGACACGGAGCTCACTGTGCAGTACTGTTCGTGGTCGACCAACATATAGGCCCATATTAACTTAGGTTTCTCCGATCGGTGCAAATGACTGACTGTAATTCGAGGGCCTGTCCCTGCAGGCTGAAGATCCCGAATAAGACCCAACCAACACTATAGATGTGCCCTTAAGCCCTCCAATCGGACCCTTGATTGTCGGTCACGGTGGGCCCCTGGCCCTTCGGTCCTTCTCCCGAACACTCTCTCGCCGACTCGGGCTCCTTGTCAACACGGCGCCCCTATAAGGCGCTGTGTGACCCTTGAAAGGTGCTGGAGACCGGAACAATGACATCGCCGGCTCCTGCTTTGTCCATGCTTGGGGAATGGATCCTCAGGTCCATGCCGACACGGAGTCGAAGTGCGTAATCGGTGGTGTCTGACCGACATGTCCGAGGCGCCCCAAAGGGACCCTCGGAACCTAAGGGGGGATGTGTGCAGGGGGCCCCCGTGCCCCTGCCTGTGCTACTGGTCACTCAACACATGTCACCGTTGAGTTGGGTTATTTTGACTCCACCGTGTATTGTTAAGCACCAGGCGAAAGTAAAATCGCTTCCTCGGTTAAAAAGCGATAGTTTTTGGGTTAAAAACGCTAGGTTTAACGCAAAAAGTTCTCGATTTAAAGCGGTAGAAGTGAAAAGTGCTCGGTTTCAGGCGTAGTTCAAAAGGCAATAATGTACCGAGTAGACATTCCTTGCAAGGCTGTTGATTTGCCGTTTTTAAGTCCCATTCAGAAGACCTAGCAACTACAACGACTGTGAAGGTGATCGACGCTGCTATCTCCGAATGGCTCCAACAGTGAGGGGGGCGGGAAGGGAGGCGCCTCGTCTGTGTGACGGGACCGCATGGCACCTCTCCATTGACATCAGGTCGTGCTGCAAACCATATGGCGAGTG